GAGTGAGAAGAGTTCCAAGCAGAGGGGACACTTGAGTTGAGGCCTGTGACATGAATAGGACTTGGCCAGTCAGGAGAGCAAGACAAGCACTAGTCATGTGCATTTATGTGTGGAAAACTATAATCACTAACCAGAGCTGGAGAGGAGTTCCCAGGCTTTCCCTGCTCCCTTATGAGTATCTAGAAAGCAGCACGTATCTCCTCCATGAATAAAAGAGGTAAGGGCAAGGAGGAACATAGGCTGGTAAGCCATCATGAGAAGATCAAGAAGACTCGGCTCTGACGCTCATCGGCCATGTGACTTCAGGCTAGTGACATAATCACTGAGCCTCAGTTTCCTTGTGTGAACACTTGTTTGTCAAGTACCTTCTCTATTCATTTCAGAAGATCTGAGAATGAATTGAGAGAACACGTAAAAAATATTTTACAAAACATGGTATGGGTGGACTGATGAGCAAGAATTTTCTGTTTTTTAATAAGAGGTTAGATAAGAAGATTTTGGGGGGCTACAAGCTTGAAGAAAATTATACCATGAGGGGGAAATTAATGTACATCACAGATTATAGGACTCTGTAGAACATATTTCATATGGAAATTAAGGATTTACTGCTTAATAAATACTTAATCTTGATCAAATCTCTTATTATAAGATGATAATCAAGCTTACTAAACAGACATAGTCCTAAAAATTAAGTACATTTCTACTATGGACTGATCTTTTGAGTCCTCTAGAATTTCAAAAAACCCACACCAACTTTATATAGGATAGGTACCTAAACATGTTCTCAAAGGATATATTTTGTAAATACAACATAAAATCATTCTCTAATTGCTGAACTTGAAAATATGGATGATACTGGATCCAACGTCATTATGTTGACACTGTATTTTTAGTAACAAATTACTATGCAGAATGGTTAAGTCAGGTTGTAAAAATGTCACGAGGAGAGTAATTTATTTTCTGAAGGGTTTTGCTTCTTCATCATAAAGATGTTTTTAGTTAGATTTTTTTAAATTTTTTTTAAAGATTTTATATTTGACAGAGAAAGATCACAAGTAGGCAGAGAGGCAGGCAGAGAGAGAGGAGGAAGCAGGCTCCCTGCTGAGCAGAGAGCCTGATGCGGGACTCAATCCCAGGACCCTGATATCATGACCTGAGCTGAAGGCAGAGGCTTTAACCCACTGAGCCACCCAGGTGCCCCGAAGGTTTTTTTTTTTAAGATTTTATTTATTTATTTGACAGACACAGATCACAAGTAGGCAGAGCAGGAGGCAGAGGGAGAAGGAGAAGCAGGATCCCTGCTGAGCAGGGAGCCAGATGCAGGACTCGATCCCAGGACCCTGGGATTATAACCTGAGCTGAAGGCAGCCTCTTAACTGACTGAGCCACCCAGGCACTCCCTATTGAAGGATTTCAATAAAGTTCTGAATCACCACTCTCCCCTTTGCTCTTGAAATTTGAGTATTCAGTAGAGGGAATGATCTTCCAGAGTTTATAATCCTTTCCAATTTAGATTTCATAGTTGTTACAGTAAATTCAAATTTTGGATTCTGCTTGATTCTGAAAATGGTGACTGAAGAAAACCTAGGCAAGTGACATAAGCCAAAAAAATCTTCAACAAATAGGGAAAAAACCTCACTTCTTTACAACTGCATATTGTTGATGGAAAGGTCAGATATTTGCTATAGAGTGAAAAGAAAGGGTATATTTGAACTTATACACTTACAGGTATAGAGACTTATTAGATGCATAGCTATAAACTAAAGTTCTAGATCTCAGTGTTACTGATATTTTGGACTGGATATTTCTTTTTTGGGGGCTGTTCTATGTTCTGAAGAATTAGCAGCATCCCTGGTTTCTACCCCACCATACCCAAGTCTTGACTGTTGACAGTGCCTCCAGATATTGTCAACTGCTTGCAAGAGTCCAAGAGCCAAAATCACTCCAGCTTGATAACTACTGACACAGATGTGTTGTTAGCTTCATTGTTTCTGTTTCTCTTGCAGTGTGGAAAGCGGGTGAACATTAGGTAGAAGTGGTAAAAAGGTAGAGTGGCCCAGATAGAAACACTAGATCTTCTTTTGAGGAGTCTTTTTACATGTGCACATGCTTAATCCTGGGATGAGAACAACATGTGACCATCTTTGCAAATCTCCAGTTCCCAAGACAGCACTGAAGCTGTGGTGGGTGTTAATGAGTGTCTGTGGAATTCAGCTAAGTTGCTGAAGGAATGCCTAACAAGTGAAGCAATCAACAAAAATGTTCAAGTTATCATTTTAAAACTATTATCATTTTCGAACTATGTGTGGAGATGAGAAAAACTCGGTCAGAAAAATAATGGGGTTCTGGGGAGGTCGAGTGAAAATTTAACATATTTTGCTTGGAAGAGGAGAAGCAGGTGAATAGATTTGTGGTGCTGTTCTGGGACTGAAAAGCTGGGAGGGTCTATGGATTGCAGAGACCAAAGCACTGTGGGTCGTGATACTGTTTCTTTCCTCCTCCACATCCTGCAGGAAGGTTGTGTGGTCTTCCTAAGTTTGCTACAAGAACCAGTTGTCTTTAAAGTTTATATTCTTTTAAATGGAAGCCCACAGAGTTTAAGTGTGAGTCCTTCTGAGATGGTGATTAAAGGCAAGTGCAGAAGCAAGCAACAGAATAGGACTTTACCATTTACTTGATTCCAGTAGAACCTTACTGCATGAAAAGCATCATTGACAGTGAACTACCCTACAGAAGAAGCAAGCTAAGAAGGAAAGAGCAGGGCAAGACATGATGCTGAGTTCTGCAGAGCATCTCATTTTCTATTAAGTTCTAAATCTTCCCATAAATTTCAAGACAGTGCCACAGGTGTCTTTCTGATCACTTCCCACTAACCTAAGCCAACTGGATCATTGTGATAAAAAGTTTGAGGGAGGGGGGTAGAGGGAAAAAACAGTCTGAGAAGTTCTGAAAAATGGTGTTGAACACAGTATTTACTGTATTATGTATGTGGATAAATTTTGTAATTTTTTAATATATAGGAATGCTGAGTTGAAGTTCACTGAAAAAATGTATTTTTCCTAAGAATTCTTTGCTTATCCTAGTCACTTTCAGTATATCAGAAGGACATTTTGCAGTGGAGTGCTGAGCTGTGTTGCACATAGAATTTTGTAACTGAGGTAATGCATGGATGGTACTGAGGTTATATATATAGATACATATATATCAGATCCAAGTGCTAATTACAGGTATCTTCCTGCAGAATCACAATGGTTCAGCTGAGACTGTAAATATCAATTAAAAACAGATGAGAGAAAATAAAGAAGGAAGTCATACATACTAGACATTTTTGGAACGTGGCAGAAATTTGAAGGTTAAAACAAACAAACAAGTGCTGTGTTCTGCGTCTGGTAATGTTTTGGTCTTCAGCAGCAAGACCATTAATTCAATGTTGCATCAAAACACCTTGATACAGTTCTTTTTCCCAGAAGTGGCTTCATTTTGGGTCTGTAAATTAACTTCCATGGTTTCTTAAAATTTTCTTACATAAAATGTGAACCAAACACCAGCTCTGCCTAAAAGTTCTAATGTGGAATGGACAATGTGTCCTCAAGAATGTCATGTGGTGATTAGTGAAGAAGACAGAGTTTCAACAAACTTGGGCAAGGTCTATGACATTTGTCTACATATAGGGAGGGGCAAAGAGGATCATTCAATCCAGATATGAGCAGCAAAGAAAGGCATCCTGTAGGAAGTAACCATAGAACTGAGTATAAATAAGTTTTATAACTGGGAATTAAGGGTAGCAAGAAAAATATTACTGGAATTAGAAATGACATTCACTTTCCTTTTTTCTATGTTGAAAAGGTAAGTGTGATAGAATAAATTAGAAGAAAAGGAATATGTTATGTAACAAAATCACAATGAACTTTTTGTCAAAGATTGAGGACTTATGTTAAATGGGTAATTTGGAGAACCCTGAATAGCGTGAAATGGACATATAAATAGGGGTTAAAGTTGAATTATGGGCTCCTTTATGTCATAATAGTGTCAGGCACTGAAGGGGAGTTTTGCTGTAGATATTTTAAAGTTATTCATTCACTGTCAGCTTCTGAACTAAAGATGCAATGAACAGTAGTGGTAGGAGAAGGGAATACTTGAATGCACTGATAACTTATCATGTGAAACTCTGCATAACTTACCATGCGAAACATCTGCATTGGAAAAAATTCAGTTTTTGGCTTAATTGAGGTATTCTGTTTTCTCATCCAAATAAAATGGTTTGGCTATAAAAGGCTCTGCATAACAACACTTACTTAGCTAAAAAAGAGATAGTAAAGGAGGATTGCTCCATCCCCCAGGACGTTGCTTGGCCTGGTATATGACAGGAGTAAATATAGGAGGACACACTTATATAAAACGTGCTATTCCACACTTATAGTCAGTGTGCCAACGAAAGTGAGTGAGTTATCAGATGTTGAGCTGCTTCTTGGAATTTGAGGAGAATTGAACAAGGGATGGGGTATGGAAGTCCAAAGTGGGTGGGAAAGCCTGGTAAAGCATTGTAATGATTTCAGAAAGGAGATGGCAGTTATCTCCTTCCCTACAGGCAGAGGTAGCTCTTATAGGAAAGAAGAGAGATTGAAAGGGACAATTTGTCTAAAACTGTCCCCAACCTTATTGTATCAGGTGGATTAAATAATGGGAGTTTGTGAAGTTGGGTATCCGTGGTACATAGAGCACATGATTCTACTCAGACAATTCTTTGGCAGAGCAAATTAAAATGTTGCTCTTTAAATAAAATGGAGTCTCCAAAATAAAGAGTTCATTTTTTTTTTAGCTTTATTGATTCCTGACAGGCACATTCACAACACAGTTGCTTACATACTTGTTGGGTAAGTCAGGGGATGAATGGTATGCTCTCTCAATTACTGGCAGTATAAAAAGGTCCAAGTGCAGTAGGGACCACACTTCACCACACACTCACTTGCAAAGCATCTGAATCCTCTTCTCCTGACAACATGTGTTGCAACTACAGGAACTCCTGTGGCTATGGCTGTGGATGTGGCTATGGCTCAGGCTATGGCTGTGGCTATGGCTCCTGTTGTGGCTGTGGCTATGGCTCGGGCTGTGGCTGTGGCTATGGCTCGGGCTGTGGCTGTGGCTATGGCTCGGGCTGTGGCTGTGGCTATGGCTCAGGATGTGGTTGTGGTTATGGCTCCCGTTGTGGCTGGGGCTATGGCTCAGGATGTGGCTGTGGCTATGGCTCAGGATGGGGCTGTGGCTGTGGCTCAGGATGGGGCTGTGGAAAAGGCTCCTGCTGTGGCTGTGGATATGGCTATGGCTCTGGCTGCTGGGGCTACCGGCCATTTTGCTACAGAAGATGTTATTCTTCTTGCTGCTAGACCATCACTCGCCAAGCCCCATTTGTTTCTGAAATGATACCACTAAAGCAAGAGCTGAAGCAAGAATCCATACCTCAAGAATTCTACATCCAGGAAATTGCATGCTGGACAGAGGCTTTGAACCCCAGTGAACGTTTGTGAGGCTGTGTGGTATCATCTGACTACTTCCTAAATATTGGTCTTTGTTCCTTTAATCTGGATTCTGTGTTGGGACTCTCCCAGGGATCCTAACATCCCACAGTTGGACAAAAAACGCATTCTCAATAAAAATGGTTCTTTGCTTCTAATAAATCTCTGTGTTCTTGCTTGTGAATTACTCCTTCCTTTTGAGGTGTTATGGCTACTCTTGAAAATTGGGCTGACAATATGCTTCATGACCCTAGGCTCTTCTTTGATATAATACAAACATTTCCTCTCATCGTGCATCAGAGATGTCTTCTTCACTTATTTCTCAATTCTCTCCTGCTCAGGCACTCACAACCCAAAAGAAATTACACAGTATTTCAGAACTGTGCCCTGGAAATTTCACTGTGTTCATAATGAAGCTGGGTGCAGGGGGAAGAGAAGGAGGAAGGACACCTATTCAGGAGGTTGTGACAGAAGCCCAAGAGAGAGGAGATGTGGTCTGAGTGCTGACTAGATGAATGGCATGGGTGAGAGAGTTCCTAGGGTTAATGAAAAATTAGAAGCAGAGTCAGATTATTCATGAACAGCTAATGGAAGGATAAGGAGGGGGGAAAATATGGTGCCGTATCATGTGCATATGGATGGAAGTGCAAATATTTGTTTGCATATATTAAGCTTGAAGAAATTGATTTAAGTCGCTTGTTTGACAAGTATTTTTGAATGTGTTTGATAGGGAACAGCTCCACATACTGAAGATACAGGAGCAAAATTGCAGCTGAGTTTCCTGTTCTCAGAGTGTTTATTTTCTAAACGTGGTAACAACAACAAAAAAGAGAATCAATTAAGACACATTTAGACAGATAATTGCTGTGGAGGGATAAAATAGTTTCCTGGGGGAAGAGAATGAAGGTTGAAGTAGTGGAGAGGAGGGTATTTTGGCATTTCGTGTCAAATGAAGTGATGCCAGTCAGAAGAGATACTGCAATGTATGGTGGTAAGTGTTAAATAAGAAGAGAAATGCATTATGGTTTGGGTATGATCAGCGGTGCCACAGTTTTTAGTGGAAAGGAACAAGGATTAGTGCTTAAAGATGCTCTCTAGTGCCATAGTTAATGCAGATACAAGAATGGGATGAAAAGCCCAGTCTACTCTCTGAGCTCGAGAGCTTACCACTGTGCGGGTTCTGAGTTCAATGTCCTTTCCTCATGTGACTTTCTAGATCTCCAACACTATACTATAACATAGAATGTCGTCTCAGGCTCAGTTTCCATGAAGAGTGAAAAATGACTCCCTGTGTCTTTTTCACGACAGGGGTCACTGCCCAAATCTGAATCTGAGGTCCCTGGACGTAGTAGCCTCCACCCAATGGCCAATTGCAAGAGAGATGGCTCTGCCATCAAAGTCAGCCCTGGAGTGAAGCTATGCCCGGGATATAATGTGTCTTATTGATGAAGAAACAGGGTATTTTAAAAATCTGGACAGTTTTCACAGGTGGAATATCTGTAAATATGATCTGAGTACTGACTGTACTCTGGGTAAATCTGAGGTGGGGAAGTTCTACAAAGAAGGGAATGGAATTCTGATAATTACAGGTTGTTGAAAGTCTACTCATGTTTCATTATGTTCCTTGTGCTTGAAGTCTTTGAAAGAATGAAGAATATCAACAGCTAGCCATTTATGTAATAATTTATATCCTATAAAGTCTTGATCATTTATTAGACATATAAGATAATTTGTACATCTGGAAAAATGTCTTTGGAAACCAACATATTTTTCATAATGTGAAATTTGAGACTCAGTCAAAGAATATTTGAGGCTCTCAGCTTTCATGAAATGAGAACATGATTCTCATCATTCTTCTAAGGTGCATACCAGTGCTTGAACATGTTTTTGTTTTAACGCATCTGATTTTTATTGGGGAAGTGTTGAGTTCAAATTATGTACCAGGTACTCTATTTAGAACTAAGTGGTGATTCAGGGATGCACAGAATAAGAGATTATTTTCCCCTGCCATCATGGATTTGAACGGAAAGTTACTAGAAATTATGCAATAAAGATAGAAAAATTTTTCAATAGTAAGGAATATTGTGACCAGAAAGTGGGTGCTTGATACGTAATGTGTCTATTCTAGGGAACTTGTGTATTAGAATTTAGAGTTATGATTTTCAAGAATGAGAGAAAAGTAGAGAAAATAAAGGTAAAGTTCAACTGGAATGGGATATGTTTTCTTTAAACTTCTTGTTAGGGATGAAACAGAGCAGAGTGATCAAATAGACCAGTGACCAACGGAGGAAAAAGTAGTTGGAAGTACTCTCACCAAAGGAAAAAATCTCTAGTAATGAATACTTTCAGAAAAGGAAATCAACAGCTTTATGAGAATCTTTGCTGAAGTCCCCTTCAGGGACTGAATGCCACACATTTCTTTGTTGAAATTATAGTGTTGAGTAGAAGGAATAATCTTCCTGAGTTGCTGTTATAGCAAAAAAATTTAAATTTTGGATTCTGCCTCTTTCGGAAAATGGGGTTTTAAGTAAAGCCTAGAGAACTAAGGTAAGCAAAAACATCCCAACAACCAAGCAAACAAAAAACAAGCCTTCTTTCTTCCTTCCTTCCTTCCTTCCTTCCTTTCTTTCTTTCTTTCTTTCTTTCTTTCTTTCTTTCTTTCTTTCTTTCTTTCTTTCTTTCTTTCTTTC